GGTTAGAGACACTGAGTGATATGGCTGTTTGTCGCAAACAGTGGCGCTCGTGCATCCACTGATTATTCCCCTATTGCTATTCCATATGAATTCTCGATCTTCCGCTTGGATTTGCTTCAACATTCCAATCTTCATTTCGCTCCTTTATCCAAATGGGTAACCAAAATCGGCGCACGAAAGTGCATGGTTATTGGTTGTATATTCTGAAAACTGAAACTGATGCTCACATCTGGGGAATATTTGGACTGTGTATAATAATAACCTTGGCAGGCGGTGAATCCCTAATGAACTGGTTGGAACCATCATTGATTCTTTTCAAAACTGGCGGTTAGTAACACTTGATGGTGCAGTTCATTTTCACTGGATTTTGAATTTATTAGCGATTCGGTAGAGTGAAACGATCGACGTTGCTCATGTAGACAGTAGAGTGAGACCAACGTTTTTACTCTGTACCCCAATTTACCGGCCCCTTGTTATTGCTTTTGTTGTAATTGTTGCAGCGTTGGCTCCATGCTTGTTCCCAAGCCGGTGCAATATATATATATATATATATATATATATATATATATATGTATATATATATATATGCCGTAACTCAATGGTTGAACATACGTAACTAAGTAGCATACGTACAATTTCAGTTTGCGTTCAGATGAGCAACTTATTCCAAAGACCTTTCGTCGAACTCAACCATAAGGTCTGCACTGTTCACATCTGAATATTTATTATGTTTTATGATGCTTTGAATATGATTCCCGAAACAACAATAGAGTCTCTCGAATGCGGAGTCATTTTGAATCAACATATAGATTTTTACCCTTGCTGAACCAATTCAAGTTATCCATGATTCATTAATCAGTACCTGGTTGATGGGTTCTTGTGGACAAGTTCATCGACTTATCTGTTTCAAAAGGGTATTTTTTCTGGATTCCACCAATACCGTGGCCTAATTTTTCCAAATTTCCTGTTTCCCCATTAATTGGCATTAGCTCCCAACCTTTATCCGCGAACAAGATTTCACACATTTTTTCATAATAACTCTTGCAAGCATAGAGTCTAGTGTAACCTGAATCATCTCTGTAGTATCAGTTTTCCATGTTTTTCTTCATTACTTCTTATAGACTTTCGAGGATCGGGTTGGTTTATTTGATCGTCGTTTCCGATTACCTGCGGGCCCGTCCGGCTCCAGCCAGACCTATAGGTACTTTCAAGCACTGGGTGTTACTACCGAAGTTTATGAGTACGATGTGTCCGTCTTTCGGTTCAGTGTTCTGCATCCGCTCCCTCGACTCTTGGCTAGTCTCATTGGACACGGTTTAGAAATGGGTTTATCCTTCTCGGACTTGAATCTTCTGGATAAAGTAAGTACTGCAAAACTTCCATTCTCGATCTACTTTTGACGCTTCGTCATTGGTGAGCTATAAATATTTGCACCAACCAAACACAAACTGCTTGTTCAAGACTTTAGGAACCCGTGCCTATAGCAAGTTCGGTCTTATAAGTTCATATGCGTACGATAAATGACCCGTCGTCTTTGGTGTTTCTGATTTCGTGATTCTGTTAAAAAACAGGATTGCTGTGTTACGTTAACAT